ATACAATCAAGTTCAGAAAAAACAATGCGACAGATCAGGACAGTTAACGTGAAGGCAAAATAAAAACATGAAATGGAGAACAGGGGAGAGTAAAGTCCAGGGAATGAAGAGGGAAACACACAAAGGGCGGTAGCAGTCGCAGGACGGGGCGGTATGAACGGTTGGAAATCTGGAATCTTACCACCCCCCCCCGATCACCTAGCGCTAGACAATCTAATTGTAATTGTACGAATACATCAACATTCAGTGACGGGAGCGTCGGGACCATCGTGTAAGACTACCTGTATACACACCGAAAACCACCACCTGAACTCAACCGGGCGTCGATTGATTTCTCTACCAATGGATGACCTTTTGGTTTTTGTTACCACCATCGACATAATTTCAGCCTCACCTTTGTCAGCACACATTTAGACTATAACAGTCTTGCCATCTTACGTGTCGTGTTTAACCCTCCCAACCTGTTCATACCGGGGGCGGGATGACTAACAAAGGTTGGACAAAGGGAATTGAGTACATATTTATCAGGACCAGAGGAACAGGACTAACGGTCAAGAAGAACACGGTAATCTCTCGGGTCGACAGACGGATCTTCGAATACATGAAAACACTGGTATCAGTTTCAAGAAATCAAACATTAAACGAACGAGCAAAAAAGGAGAGTCCTCATCTAAAACAAACTTGAAATTTGAAAGGTTTCATTCTTAAAAAAAATTGTTTGAAAGAAACTCAGCACGCAAACTCAGGTTCACAGACAGTTCCAAGCATGTTTACACTCGTACTCTACCTCGGCCCTCTAGGTTTCGGTACACTTCGAAATGGAGGTTGGCAACTCTGTTTCTCTCGGTCTTTCGTTTTCGGAGAGTTATATGGCAAGATGAGGAAGCATTTGAGTGATACCAGTACTTCCTACCATACTTTGGGTCTTGTCTATTGTCGCCGATTTTTTGATTTAAGAGCCTAGCACCGACAGTAGAGGGAATCACTATTTTACTCTGCAAAGTCAGTAGTACTCTCTGATCCTTATCTCGGGAAGAGGATTACGCACTTTTCCTCTGTCAACGGAGGAAGAATCCCCAACAAAGTCCCGTACGGTTGCCCCTCTTCTGGGCTCCCCGTTATGTTCCTGTTATTTTCTCTATATTGGTCCCATAAAAACATAGAGGTGCGACACCGAACCTCGTGGGATACTAGGAGGTCAAGTCTGACCGCTACGCCGGTGTCTTAGTTCCTTCAGACACCGGGAGGACGACCTTTCGAGGTGGTATTGGGCTGAGACCACCGTGTTACCTAGTTTAAAAAACCCTTTTAACGTTGGACTGCAGTTATGGAGGTGTCTCACTTTGCAGGTCGTAAGTAATTTAAAACCAAATTTCAGTGGAAAAGATCGTAGTTGTACAGGGGGGGGGGGGAGACACATTTCTCATGAGACTTCAAGTCCTTTTTTTTAAGAGAGAGTAAAAACAGGACTAGGTAAAGGATATTTTGGGACAGACTTTTGCAATACTACAGTCAATTGTACACATTGGTAATCGGTTAGTGTGGTTCGTTGGGGTGGATAGTGGACTTAGAGGAGGATCTCGTGGTAACAAAAACACAAGAACATTGGTTAGTTACGAGAGTACGCCGAAAGTGTGGTCGCGATAACGGGAAAGATTCGAAGGCTCGATTTCGAAAAGACCAAGTCGAGGCCAAAGGGGAAAGAGAAGGGCGAGACCAAGTGTGGCGGGTCTTCGGGCAGACTACGT